TCTGTTTTTCCAATTTGAAATTACTTTCTGTTGCAAAATTTAAGATACGTATACTGAAAAAGGATAAAAAGAAAAAAGGGTCAAAACTGAAATGAGACATTTTGCCATTATTTAAATAAATAATTTCAGTTGGTCCTGAACCAATTTTTTTTCCAGTTCACAAATATTTTTGAGATTTCAACTTTTTATCCCAGTTTGAGATTAATCTTTGTCCTGGATTTTGAATATTGACCTGATCCTGAATAAGGGACAGGTACTGTATGATTTAGTATGTGAACATTTTATTCTAACTTTGCCCTTAATAAAAAAGTAAAAAAAAAAAAAGTTGATCTCCTGAAAATATCCGAGGGATGGGGAAAACTGTTTCCCACTCATCTCTAACCCAGCTCACCACTGGGTGGCCTGTATGAAGTGAGCTGGTGGGTCTCAGTCCAGTTCTGGGTGATATAGGTGGCCACATTCAAAAACTCCCCACTACAACTGGAACTCAATAGACAACAAAGATTGAATTCCCTGCTTACCCCTAGAGGTTTTCTCTCCTGAACAAGTTTGAGGCACATTGGTATGGGGGTGGGGACAGTAATTTGCCAGCTTTGGGGATAAACACTGTGGCAACAGTTTTATCCATATGCAAAGGCCATTCTGCGATTGTACCTTTGCTAAATCCACTGGGTTTAAGCAAGCTCCCCATTCTCCCTTAACAGAGACTGTCTCTGCAGATGATTCTCGAGGCAGAGTCATGACTGAGACTGTTCGGAAATTCTTCCCCGAGACATGGATTTGGGATCTCTTTTCAGTAGGGTGAGTACTGCTTATTCTGTCTTCTCATCTTCTTTTTAAGGGCCCACTATTGCCCTGAAAGGCATCAGGAAGGGCATGGAACACTTCCTATAGCCAGCTTCCTCCCCGCAACCCTGCATGGTGATATTGTTCAAGGCTGTCAGTACATGTTCCCAAATAATGCATCCAGCATGTCAGACTTGGCTAGCGAGAGGAAGGAGTGTCTTGTTGCTTAAGTGGAGTCACGAACTCATGGTCTTATTCCATGTTCTGCCACTGATTGTTCTGTTACCTCAGGCAAGTGGCATGCAGGAGAATTTTCTAGGGGCTTCTCTTCAGGGGATTTGAGTGATGAGTTTTGAGCACTCAGACAACAAGGGGAATTCTCCAAGCAGAACATGGGCAGTGCTCACTCTGCTGATTCTCTGAAAAATCTGTCTCTACTGTGTACCGCATACATGCTCTGCCCCATTCCCTCTAGTTCCACTGGCAAGGCCAACATTGTATTCACCATCCCTGACACCATCACCGAATGGAAAGCCAGCGTTTTCTGTTTGGAGAAGGAGTCTGGATTTGGTATCTCTGCACCCACCTCCCTGACAGCCTTCCAGCCTTTCTTTGTTGACCTGACCCTGCCCTACTCCACCTTCCGGGGGGAAGACTTCCTCCTTAGAGCCAACGTCTTCAACTACCTGGACAAGTGCATCAAGGTATGTCCTCTTCTTCTCGCTCTGATTAAATGTGTCCCCCATAACCTGGAAGATACCACATCTTTTCCAGGACTCCTGCCTGTGTGGCTAAAACAAGCAGCAATGTGGTAAATTTGTTAAGACCTATTTGTATTATGGCAAATCAGCCTGGTTGCGCCAGTCCTTCTGGGCCACTACAGAGCAGACAGAGCTTGCTGAATTGTGTCCTGGGAGTAAGATACAAGCAAACCTCTGTGGGGAGTTGAAAAGACCAGAAATATGGGTGTGTACATAGCATAGATTCTAACTCATAGACTCTAAGGTCAGAAGGGACCATTATGATCGTCTAGTCTGACCTCCTGCACAACACAGGCCACAGAATCTCACCCACCCACTCCTGTAATAAACTCCTAACCTATGTCTGAGCTATTGAAGTCCTCAGAACACGGTTTAAAGACTTCAATGTGCAGAGAATCCTCCAGCAAGTGACCCTTGCCCCACACTGCAGAGGAAGGTGAAAAACCCCCAGTGCCTCTGCCAATCTGCCCTGGAGGAAAATTTCTTCCCGACCCCAAATATGGCGATCAGCTAAACCCTGAGCATGTGGGCAAGCATCATTCATGCTTCAGGGTTCTTTACAACTCTGATGACTTTAGTGGGGCTACAGAGGCTGTAAGTCAAGGCAGAACCTGGACCTGGGCCTCCCAAAGTGTAAGCACAAGGGGTTGGGGGTGGGGAGTTGAGCCTGGTCAGATTCTGACTCCTGTCTAGGGTGCAGGGTACAGAGACCCTCAGAATCAGTGCTTGTATCAGTGGAGTGTTTGCCTAGGCAGAGGCTCTATACAGCTTCTGAAAGCTGGGATAAATAGCCTGCACTTCTTGTGCACCAGTCAGCAGCATGAGGCAGAGCTTTCTGCCCTTCAGGACAGAAGGTGTAAGAGACGTGTTCTTTCTAGTTACCCATAGGGGGATTCTGCCGACCTCACTACCCTCAGGCAGAACACATCCAATAACAGTGGGGTGCACCCACACTCCTCAATAGTTTACACACAACTTAAAGGGGACCTGCGAAAAATATTTGTACCCGCTTTTGCTTTTTTGCATTGTATCCAAAAAGCTAGATTTCCCGCCTCCCTGGTTTTCATTTTTTTTTCTGCTTGATTTTAATATTAAATCATCAACTCTCATTTTATCCTCTTTTTGGTGGAGGTCTCCTAGGATAACTGGAGAACTACAGTGGGAACTTTCTTAGCCCTTAATTAAAGAGGTGTGTTTGAATCATCAGAAAAAGACTTTTCTCCTTACTGTTTTTTAAGAGTCTGTGTTAAATAGATGTTAACAAACAAAAAGCCACCAGAGTTTTAAACAGTTTAAATCCTTTTTCCTCTCCATCTCTTGTGATGTCATAATCCCTTTCCAGTTTTCCTAGTAGTCCTGCAACAAAACACAGAAATCTAGAAATCAGAAAAATGTTGGGAAGAAAAAGTAACAACCCTTGGTGGCCTTCAATATACCCCATAAAGCAGCAAAAAAGAGCCCGGGCAATGGTTTCCTATGCAGATCTCCTGGAAGGCGTTAGCACCTTTTGTACTGACTGAGAGCATGGGTGCTGGTCAGTATATTAGGTTATCTGCTTCGATGGTATATTTCATGTCCCTATTGATGTTTACTAGAGACAGGCAGAAGATAGCTCTGTTAAGATGTCCTCTGAAGAGTGGCCCGTCCAATACCACAGCATCCCCTGTTCTGGTTCTGCCCCATAGTGTTGGCATTGGATACCCACTGGAGATAGGCAGAAGGGAGTTCCTGTAATGCTGACCCTGTTTGTGTCAGACATAGCCTGCACCACATCAGTATTTCTCTCCTGCTCTCAGGTTGGTATTTTGCTAGCCAATTCCCAGGATTACCAGGCTCAGCTCCTTTCCCCAAAGGGAGATGATGGATGCGTGTGTGCCAATGAGAGGAAAACCTATGTCTGGAATATTATCTCAAAAAAACTTGTTAAGTTTCTGCACAACTTTCTGTCCTGTGACTGATGCTAGTCTATTCATGTGTCACCAAAAAGCCCATCCCTAACCAGTCCATCTTCTGAGTCCATAGAGCTTGGAGCTGCATTGCCCCAACTTTGCTTGCTTGGGAGGTGCTCTATAGAGAGCTGCATTGCCCTGGCCCTTTCCATGTATAGAGCTCAGAGCTCCATTACCCCATGGCTGCTCATCAATGGTGACTAAACAGTCATAGAATCATAGAATATCAAGGTTGGAAGAGACCTCAGGAGGTCATCTAGTCCAACCCCCTGCTCAAAGCAGGACCAACACCAACTAAATCATCCCAGCCAGGGCTTTGTCAAGCCTGACCTTAAAAACCTCTAAGGAAGGAGATTCCACCACCTCCCTAGGTAACCCATTCCAGTGCTTCACCACCCTCCCAGTGAAAAAGTTTTTCCTAATATCCAACCTAAACCTCCCCCACTGCAACTTGAGACCATTACTCCTTGTTCTGTCATCTGCCACCACTGAGGACAGCCTAGCTCCATCCTCTTTGTAACCCCCTTTCAGGTAGTTGAAAGCAGCTATCAAATCCTCCCTCATTCTTCTCTTCTGCAGACTAAATAACCCCAGTTTCCTCAGCCTCTCCTCATAAGTCATATGCTCCAGCCCCCTAATCATTTTTGTTGCCCTCCACTGGACTCTTTCCAATTTTTCCACATCCTTCTTGTAGTGTGGGGCCCAAAACTGGACACAGTACTCCAATGAGGCCTCACCAATGCCGAATAGAGGGGAATGATCACGTCCCTCAATCTGCTGGCAATGCTCCTACTTATACAGTCCAAAACGCTGTTAGCCTTCTTGGCAACAAGGGCACACGGTTGACTCATATCCAGTTTCTCATCCACTGTAACCCCTAGGTCCTTTTCTGCAGAACTGCTGCCTGGCCACTTGGTCCACCAGCTGACCCGCAAAGTTCCATACTGCAGTTTTGTCACATGTAGAAATCTGCTAACATCAGCCATCACGCTGGGCAATGGAAGTAACTTTTTCTCTTTATCGGGTGTTATTCCAGGTGATGTGATGTTTAGTGTTACTGCTGAGACCAAGAAGAATGGTGGGAAATGTGGGAACAGAACATCTGGGAGGCCGGAGATAGGGTGGAAGGACACCCTGATTAGAACCCTGTTGGTTGAGGTACAGTGGAAAGCTCTGGCTCTCTGTCTGAACATCCCTCCCTTCCGTGAAGAGTGCAGCAAGTATGTGTGAAAGCAAGTCAAAGTATTTGAAGTGCTCTAAAGTGCACCAGGCTTGGATCCAGTGCCAGCCAGCTGGGATAGGGCTGGGTGTTCAGTTTAGGAGCGATGTCACTGCCATCAAGAGTGTTGTTGGGATGATGAGTGTTTGGTGAATATGATGGAGGTCAGAGTGTGTGAGCCAGCCCACCCTGAAACCCCTCCCTCCTTCTAACTGCAGTGCTGGAGAGTTTGTCCTGCCTGCTGCATTAGCCAGCCTGGGGTCAGACAGACCATGCTGATGTATCCACTTTGTAGAACAGGATTCCTTCTCCAAGCCCAAAATACCCTGTGCATGGATTCACTGTGTTTGCATCCTACACTTAGGCAGAGCCATAACTGGGACCAGCATACGTATGATCCACAGGATGCAAATCCACCAGGAGAGTTGAAATGAAACTCCCACAGTCTTCTCAGAACTCTGCTTAGCATTTCCTAGCCATAAACTGCATCTGACTCAATCCAGCTAGCAAGCAATGGTATTTGTAGGGCACCTAGCACCATGTTTAAGCACTAGCCCTGCATCTATGACAGCTGTCCCCTGGCTGGCAGGAATATTACCACCCTGTATATTATCTTAAACTGGGACATTCAGGGACTGCCAATAAAACCTTTGCACCCCACCATCCTTTATATCAAACTATATTACTCACAAGTGACAAAGCCCTTACTGAGTTATGCTGGGGGAAGTAAAGAGAGGGAAGGACTGAAGCAGATGGAAGAGAAATACAGTAAGTTTCCCCCATCCCCTTGTGTAATAGAGGGAAGAAGAATGGGAAAGACTCCACAGAGCCAAAACCAATTGTCTAGAGCTCCCCTGAAGTAGCAGCCACATCATGGATGAGTCTGGTCCCTAGAGTCTGGGTATAATACCCTGATTACTTGATAGTGCAGACATGGGGATGGCTTTTCATTGGACCATTTTCTTCTGTAACATTCATTCTGATGTGCTGTATGTGTCTCCTCTCTCTCCCCTCCACTGACCAGCCTGAAGGCATCGAAAAGGAGGTGACCCAGAGCTCCCTCATCTGCACAAAGGGTAAGGGCATCTCTCCAAATTCTGTACCTGTTGACTGGGACCAAAGCTCTTTCCCTCAGCACTAATTAATAATTTTGTAAATCCCTGACCCATCCCCCTTTCATGGAGGCACTGTACAGCTGGCACCTAGATGTGTGAGGAAGGATGGTCCAGGAGTTAGAGTGCTAGTCTGGCAGTGGAATGATGAGAGTTCAATTCCCCGCTGTGCCACTAACCACCCTAAGTGATCTGCCCAAGGTCACACAGGAATGTCTACACTGCATACTAAGCCCAGGTTCTGACTCAGGTTTGGGCCCAAGCCCCCCTTCTGTTCACATGCAAATCAGCCTGACTTGGGTACAGCAAGCACTCATGTCCTGGCTCCTAGAACCCTGCTCAGGGGTGGGTCAGAGCCTGAGTCCTGCTGTGACTTGGGTCCAAGCCCTGTCATTTGCAGTGTGGCACAGGTCAAGCTGCAGATCCTGGTCAGAGTATGCAGGATGAATGTGTTAGCACAGCACTGAGACCCGGGTCTGCCAGTTGCAATCCTCGGTTTACAATGCAAGGTTGATGTTCAAGCACAGTCCCACAGACCCGGGTTTAGTGTGCAGTGTAAACATGTCTCTGTGTCTCTGTGTCTCTGTTCATTTAGTGGCATAATAGCACTTGCTAATAGTGCAGGGGGCCATATAACTACCAAAGATACATAGTTCACTGGGACATTTCAAGCATGTCCTGGGCCCCCTGAAGGCATATTTGATTAATGTCTTCCCCCAGAGTTTAATTTTTCAGTTTCCTTCTCCCAGTGAGGATGGAAGATAGGGCTGGGAGTGGAGAGACAGACAGGAAACAGGGGAGCCTTAGAATGAATTTGCCATGAAGAGTGGTAAGTAGCCAAGTTGCTGTGAAGGCCATGGAAGACCACTTGCTAATGGAGGGAGCAAAAAAGAGGACTCTAACCCTCACCAACCCCCCACATCAAGTGTCTTGCTGAAGATGCTCCTTCAACCTGGGTTCCTGGCGACCACAAGTGCCATCACATCCTGTGAGCACTGGCCTTGCCTATATACGTTGACTTCTGTGGACTGTGGTAACTTACAACACCTGAGGATTTGCCCCATTTTGTCTGGCTTTCACTGTATTAGTTTTACTTTGTCTCCTTCACTCTTGACTATTGTTATGCTCTTGGGGGCAACAGCAACAGTTTCCATATACTGTTCTCCATTGTGGGTGTCTTCTGATGTTCATTCATTTTAACTTTTACAAGAAGTGCTTAGTTGCTATAATCAAATTCCTGATATAAATGATCAAAATTAATCTAATATTTTCCCCGCAGATGCTGCAGCCACGGAACCAGTGTCTCTGAAGCTGCCTGAAAACCTGGTGGAAGGATCAGCCAGAGCCTCTTGTTCTGTCACTGGTAAATCTATTAAGTTTTGTATTGAGATTCTTACATCTCAGGAAAGGCAAACTTCTGAGCAACAAGGCTTATTCCTGCCTCTTTGAAAGTAACCAGCCAGCTTTGCAGTGGTAGAAGACATCCTCTTTGCCAGAGAGGAGAAACCCAGGTTCTGGATGTTGGTGATACTCCTTTCTTTTGGTATAAAGGGGTTATTGGCACTTGTTTGGGTTGATTCAATTGTTTGCCACTCATGCCAAATGCACCCATCCTAAACTCATGCCAATAAAACCTTTGCACCCCACCATCCTATATATTAAGCTATATTACTCACAAGAGACAAAGCCCTTACTGAGTTATGCTGCTCCTCCCAAAATCATGCTAATAAATGCATTATGCCACCGCACCCCATCATTTGCTCTGTATGTGCCATGCTTTCTAGAAATACTATTTTAGCAATGTTGTAGCAAAGGGTGTTTTAAAAGCTTTATTAAAATACTTTTGTATCTCTCTGTGAGTTCAGTTATCCAGGCCTTGGAAGGAGAAAAAACAGAAATTAATACAATTTTAGAAACCTCTAAATATTTCACCCAAATATCATTTTGAAATAAATAATTGCATTGCAGTTCTAAGGCCTGACATCTTGGGATGTACGAAGCCTTAGAAACAACTGATGGGTGTCCCATAAAGCAGTGGTTCTCAAAGCCGGTCCACCGCTTGTTCCGGGAAAGCCCCTGGCGGGCCGGGCAGGTTTGTTTACCTGCCACGTCCGCAGGTTCGGCCGATCGCGGTTCCCACTGGCCGCGGTTTGCTGCTCCAGGCCAATGGGAGCTGCGGGAAGGGCGGCCAGCACATCCCTCGGCCCGCGCTGCTTCCCGCAGCCCCCATTGGCCTGGAACGGCGAACCGCGGCCAGTGGGAGCCGCAATCGGCCGAACCTGCAGACGCGGCAGGTAAACAAACCGGCCCGGCCCACCACGGGCTTTCCCTGAACAAGCAGCAGACCGGCTTTGAGAACCACTGCCATAGAGGAACTAAAAATCCTTCCACTGAAGTGTTATGAAGCAGTGTTCCCAAAGTTTTTCATAGTCGGGGCAATATTTTAGTACAGAGAATGCCTCCTGAACACGTTTTTCCATCACCTGATTCATGATCACCCAGATACGCTTCTCCATTTCATGCCATCCTGTGGCAAGTACAGCAATTTCTTACATGGAGAGGTGACATTTGGAAAGTATTTGATGTATTTCAACTCTCTCTTAATGCATTTTAACAGCTGGAAATAAAGAGAAAATGCTGGTAGCATGTGACCAGCCAGCTCTTTATGGACAATCAGCAAGGGCTGTGGAGACCACAACTTCCGCTCTGAAGTGCCCATTTCTAGCCCTGTTGGGTTGGGAGTTCTTAAACCTGTCCAGGGCTCTTTTGCCCAGGCTGTACTGACAAGTATAACTTTCTTGGGATAAGGAAGAAACCTTTCCTGGTTGGGTATTTTTTTGTTCTTAAATAAAAACGAGCTGCTTGAAGCTTTGCAGGCATTTGCCATGTTCAATATATTTCTGGTGCAGATTAGCTGGCAAAGTGCAGATGTGGAGGGCAAAGGGGCATGAGGTGTGGGGGTTTCTTGTTTGGGGTTTTTCGCTGTCTTCTACTTTAGACCAGAACGAATCTGTCCTCCTGTGCTCGGGATTCAAGGACTACTGAGAAAAGCAGTGGTAGAATCTCTGCAACTAGGGGTTAATTCTAGAATCTCTGTCAGGATCTTGAGGGTCCCTGACTGTTGTACTGATATTATTGTTCTGTAGTACATATTAGCTTTGCAGATTCTGATGTTGGCTCTGTGTGAAACTCACTCCCTATGTCTCTATTCCCAGGTGATATCCTGGGCACAGCCATGCAGAACCTGCAGCAGCTCCTCCAGATGCCCTTTGGCTGCGGGGAGCAGAACATGGTCCTGTTTGCCCCCAACATCTACGTCCTGGACTATTTGAATAAGACGGGGCAGCTGAGTGAGGAGACCAAATCCAAGGCCATCGGATACTTAGTCAGTGGTGAGGGGCCTCTCCTTAACTTGTGACACCCTCCTGCCTCCATTGATAGCATGCACTACAAAGTTACCCTGGTAGCTCCACATTTTTCATTTAACTAAGCATTCTGAACCATGTAGCTGCCTTGTAATACCCTGCTGACCTGCTTGCTCCTGCAAATCAATTGGTAGTTCTGCTTGAAATTGCTCCTTACATCATCCTGCCTCTTCTATCCCCTCCCCACCCACCTTTTCACCTTGTTTGAGGTTCACTCCATGTATGTCTTGTCTTCCTGCCCCTTCCAAACGTCTGTTTTTTGTTGTCAATCCTTAGTGCGCTCTCCTTGCTCCTTTCCCCCAGGCTTTGATGCCAAGTCAATGTTCTTCTGCTCCCCTCAGTCCCCCAGGCTCATCCCCATTTGATTCCTCTAATTTGGGTTCTGGATTTATTTGATGACAAATTAAAATGGGATTTCGTTGGTTTTAATCAGGAAACATTTCCTCCTCCTTGTGTGTTTTCAGGGTACCAGAAGCAGCTGTCATACAAACACCCGGATGGATCCTACAGTGTCTTTGGGACCAGAGATAAGGAAGGAAATACATGGTGAGAGCTGGGAAGCTGGCTGAGGCCTCGGCTGGTAATGAATCCATGAGCTGCAGATGAAAGACACACACTAAATAAATCAAACACACATGTAAAGAGCATGGACTAGAACTCTAGTTCTAATGCTCTAAGAACAAACATCTCTACCAATGATGCTAAAGGAGAACTCTCTTAGCTGCTACTGGCAGTAGGTCCATTTTTCTTCTCTGTAGACTCACCCACTTGATGTGACATGATCATACACATGGACACAAAGCCAGCATTTTACAGACAGATTAAAGAAACAGTTCTATCCCATCATCTGTCGCTCATTCCCCTCCTGGCCTGTGTGTAGGAGGGGAAGGTACCTGCATTGAGTTTTGATGCTTTAGACTCCAAGTGACTGCTCATATCTGTGCTGTTCTCCTTCAGGCTCACCGCCTTCGTATACAAGTCATACGCACAAGCCAAGCGCTATATCTTTATTGATGACCATGTCCAGTCCCAAACTCTGACCTGGCTCTCAAGCAAACAGAAGTCAAGTGGTTGCTTCCAAAGTGTTGGGAAACTCTTCAACAATGCCTTGACGGTGACACATTTCTGCTCCCTGCTGAACTTCGTGTCCTGCCACTGGAAAAGCACTTTCTTACCTCTGCTAAATCGCATCCTTAATCCCCAATTCCCCCCTTCCACTGGGATAACTCTTCAGATATAGACAATTAATAATGTCAAAGTTTAATAGATTTCATTTTCCAAAGCATATCTCTGATCTCACAAATCTGTTTTCTTTCCCCAATTTCCCAGCACCTACACTCTATCTCAGCCACTACAAAGTTGAAGAAGTTCTTTTCTTGCTGCATCTAGGGGCTCCTCTCCCACATCTTCTTAGGCAAGCAGCTGCCCCTATGAGAGGTTGCTAGGCTCATTCTTCTTCCTTAAGAACTGCTTCCACAGCTGGCCAGGCTCTTCATTGTAAAGAACTCGGCCAGCAATAGAAGCAGAGCCAATCCGATGTGACCAGCAAACACTGGGGATCAGTTTGAGAACTGCTATCCTGAACTCTCTGTCCAGGCATAACAGGGTAATAACACAATATGGGAACCACTCTGGTGTGGTAGGTCAGTGAAACAGTCCAGGGGGAGGAGAAGGCGGTTCCCTCCCCCCCTGGAATGACTAGTTCTGTCGTGTGTTTTATTCAGGGAGGAGTCGATGACGAGCTTTCACTGACAGCCTACATCACCACAGCTTTGCTTGAGGCTGGACACCCCAGCTCGGTAAGGATTCCTTCACTATTGTTATCCTGCCTTAATTGGTTTCGGTCAGTTGGCTTGGCCCCAGAATCTGTTACAAATTTGCCTGGGTACTGGAAGTGATGACCCACAGGGACATGTCTGCATGGAATGTGTATGCTTTCATTGCTGTTAATAAAGAAAAGGGGCTACATGCTAGCCCCAGTCTTCAAGCAGAAATTCCACTGCAGTCAATAGGGTCTTGGGCAGTATATGGCTCAGTGTAACTTCTGATTAAATGAAATGCTAGACGTGCCTGCAAACTTGTCAGGCTCTTGTGCTTGTATTATATCTCAGCCTTAAACATGAGTCACTCAGGACCAGGAGAAAGTTCAGGGCAGACCCTTGAAACATCCAAATGTGCCTGTTAACTCGTGTATCTCTGACTATGTGCAGAGGTGGAGTAAGCTCCAGTTCAGTTCTGATGAATGATACACATGCTGCAACCAGTTAAAAATGTAAAAGTCCATTAAAATGAGGGACAAATTGTCTTGCTTTACAGTGGTTGGCGTCAGGGAGAGCAGAGGTTGGGCCTTAGACCCTAAAATGTCAGACTTCCTGACTTGTATTTTCCATACATTTTCTTAGCAGGTGTTCTGTTTCTGTCTGAGGAGCTTGCTTCCTCCTGGCCTATATTCTGCAGCAGTGAAGACATGGAGTCAAATTGTGATCAAAGTGACCTTGGGGTAACTTCATTTACTTCAGTGTAAATCCAGGACAACACCATATATGTCAATGGATTGACACTGGAGGCACTGAGAGCAGAATCTGGCCCATAATGTTGAGTTTGTCCATGACTACAGAATGTGATATTACCAATGGAAGTTTAATAACTTATTGTAGAGCTAAGAAGAAGCAGTGGACTGGAAGGGGGACAGAATGAGCTCTCATTTATACTCAAATTTCAACTTCAGTAACGAAACCAAAGGCACTCCTGTGTTATGATGTTTCCCTAGTCTGAAAATCCTTGTTTTAGGGATGTCATGCTGCCCCTTCTGCAGTCCTTTTGGACCTAGAATATTCCATGTTCACTGCAGTGATGGTGGCCAGATAAAGTGAGCCTGGAATGTTCTGGAACAGAAATATTTGTCTGTGTGAAGATGTACGTCCCACACACACACACAGATCTAATTTATTTATAGCACCCCGTGGTCCGAAATGGCCTGTTTTGCTTGGAGGCTGCATCTGGAGAGGAAATCAGCAAAGTTTACATCCAGGCACTCCTGGCCTATATCTTCTGCCTGGTCGTCAATGAGGGGAAATGTGACTTCTTCTTGAAGGAGCTGGACAAATCAGCTAAGAAAGTCGGTGAGTGTCACCTAGTTTTTCTGGGATATTAGCACTGATGGCAGATGGGCCTACCTAGATGATACTGCCACCTTTAATTCTTGTGTTCAAATATAGAAACCATGGTAACTTTATTTGTCATGGAGTTTCACTCATTAGAAATACATAGGGAGATAGGTAGGCCAGTTGAAATGGAGATGCTGAGCAGATCTGTGGTTTTGTTTTTAACACACAACCCAGATTAACCCTCCTCTCCACATACTGATGGAGCCCTTGACTGTCATGTCCACCTCCCTACCTCAACCAGGACTCCCAAGCTCCCCTCCTCCTGTGCAAATAGGTGCATGCAGATGTCCAATATTATGTAATACTTTGACACCAAACTTTTTGGTTATCAATTATGAGAATTTACTGGGCCTGATTCTGACCTCCCTTTCACTGGTGCAAATCAAGGGTAGCTGGAAGGAGAGAACTGGGACAAGTGTCTCTCTCTTGCTTTAGTTCTAGCCTTTTCTCTCAATCTATCTGTCTTATCTTTTTATGTGACTATTCTGTAGCAAGGGTGACAGCTTGTGGCACACAAATATAATTGCATTCTAATCCCAATATCCCCAAGGCCAGATGGATGAGTAACTGCTCCTGCAGAGCAGTCTGCTGGAATATTGTGTTCAGTTCTGGTCCTCCTCGTCTCAAAAAGGATCTTTCTTTGCTGCCTCGACCCTGCCAGAACCTTTTCACACTGCCTGTGTCTTTCCCTGAAGTGGGGAAATGCTCCAGCCGCAGGGAGGCACTGGAACACTACATTGGGAGAGGCACAGCTTGGGCAAGTAGAAAGCTGTGTAGGGTAAGTACTTGGGTACATACCCACAGCTTTCAAGCATGTCTGTACTCTACTCACCTAAGCAGCGCCTCTCTGCCTGCTCTACTATTTATATCTATGCTAGGGGGACTATCTGTCTCTGTACTGTACATGCCACCAGAAGAAGACATACTCAAAGAGACTGGGATTGGGTCTTCTGCATGGCAGCACAGACTACTAATTACTAAGCTGCTGTTCTGGTTCTTCACAATCTCCTTTCTGTTCTCAGGTGGCTCAGTGCACTGGGAACGGGAGGTAAAGCCCCCTGCAGAAACGTTCCCCTCTTTCTATTCCCGTGCCCCCTCTGCTGAGGTTGAGATGACCAGCTATGTGCTTCTGGCAGTGCTCCACAAACCCAAACGGGCTCAAAAGGACCTAACATTCGCCTCACAGATTGTGCAGTGGATCATCAGACAGCAGAATTCCAATGGGGGTTTCTCTTCCACCCAGGTACAGCAACTACCTTCTGCCCTCTAATCACGCCCAGGAAATCACAGGCAGCTGCTCACATAAGCCAGCTGCATTAGAGATTGAGAGAGAGAGCCAATAGGACTGTGACTAAAAAGATCCATTGGCCACTTTCTCCCACAGATAGTCCAGGCCCTATTCCAAAAGCTGGAATAGCAGCTATGAAGGGATTGGGGGCTTCCCCACACCCTGCCAGCTGCCACCCCTAGCTTCAACTTCTACGTACAAAGTGCCAATGCACTCAAGCTCTTTGCAGAATGATGTGTGTGTAAATGTCACCTGCTCGGGGAGCAGAACATTAGAGTTGAGTTCTGCTGTCCAGAAGACAATCTGGTCCTAAATGTGCCAAGGTGAAAGTCACATGGCAGCAATTGAATAGTAACAGGTACAGTTAGATCTTCACGTGAATAGGAGCTCAGAGAATTCCTTTAGTCCCTGGTTCTAGCCTATTATTGATGTGTGTATGATTTGCTATCAGACACACCTGGTGCACTGAAGCGTTCTGGAGGTGTGCCCTAATACTCTACAGGACTCAGTTTCCAAGATGAACTGGGATGGGTTTGGGCTCATCTGCACTGAAATCTTGTGAGCCGTGAAATGACTGTGGTCTGTATTGGAACCATGTGTTTAATAACCCCATGCAGTATCCCAACACAGTGTGTCTGTAATTGACAATTATTCTACATTTTTTCAGGACACAGTTATTGCTCTTCAAGCGCTGGCTGATTATGGTGCAGCAACCTACTCTGAGAATGGCCAAAACACAGTTAAAATCAGCTCCAGCAAGCCTTTTGAGAAGGTCTTTGAGGTGAATAGCCAGAACAGGCTACTGTTGCAGCAGAGTTCCCTGCCTGATGTCCCAGGGAATTATATCCTGGAAGTGAATGGCAATGGATGTGTCTTTGTGCAGGTAAGTGCTCACCCTACCCTTCAGCGTGTGGCTTCTTCAGCACATAATACAGCCTTTCTTCTTTTGTGTCCCTCTCTTCTGTCCAGTCTCTCTCTCTCCCCATTCCTTCCTATCTCCCCTGTTATTTCTTTTCTTAAGACTCTTTGGACAAATATATCAACTTCTTTAAGTCCAGTTCAGAAAGAAAGAAAGAAAGAATTGGTCCTTGGTGTTTTTTCTCTGTATCACACGTGATTAGTTTTTCTTAGGTGATGACTGGTAACTGGACATGTGTTACACACAAACATCCTCCTCTTTATTTGTAAAACTTGAGTTCCAGTTGAAGGAGTATAGTTTGTCTATCTGTCAGTCATAGGGCTTTATACTACTGCCCATCTTTGTATTATCCAACTGCTTCCATGTCAAATCAATAGCAATCTTCCTATTTGGGGTAAAAATCTGCCTAGGATGTTTTAGTTTGAGTGGTTGGATAGGTAAACTTGTTAGATGTTTTCAGAGTTTTTTTTTTTTTTTTTTTTTTTTTTTGCAGGCATTTGTTTGGTAGATGTTTGATAGATGAGCAGGGCCGGCTCTAGGTTTTTTGCCGCCCCAAGCAAAAAAAATTTTGGCTGCCCCCCTGTTCCAGCCCTGGGCTCCTCGCCGCACCCCCCTGCCGCCCAAACCCTGGGCTTTCCCCCACCACTCGCACCCCCCTGCCGCCCCAGCCCTGGGCTCTCCCCCGCCCCCCCACCTGCACCCTCCTTCCGCCGCAGCCCTGGGTCACTGGTAACTCGCTCCCAGGGCAGGTCATTCAGCAGGAATTTTAGATGTGCACAGAACACAGACAGGATTGGTTCCCATATGGTTACAGAACTGCAGTAAAGTGAAACAATTTTCAGCTTGTGTGATTGGAGGATATCTGGATGCATATTATAAGACTGTCCTCCATAAATGAGGAAAAGTTGAGGTGCCTTTATTATTCTTTTGTTCCACTCTTTCTTTCTATGGGGAATTTGCCAATGCAATATCACTGTCTTCCTTTTAAACAAACAAACAAAAGGCAATGGCTGTTGAAAATAGCAATTCCAGTCCTAATAACCACTGGGAAGCATTTCTTGCTCAATTTTATCCTACTTTTTCTACAGCAAGTTACAGTGGATCAGTATATTTGATTTGGGAGAAATGAAGTAACAGCTGCCCAAACTGAGCTTGAGCACTCCTGAATTTTGAGGTGTTCAAATCTGGAAGGCAGGTGCTGGGGGGAGGGGGCTGTGGCTCCGCAGGGGAGCACGGCAGCATGTATGCAGCAGCGTGTCTGGCACTGCGCGAAGCCAGACATGCTGGTCTGAGTGGCACGGTAATGGGGCTGGGAGGTTGGAGAAGGGGTAGGGGGTTCCGGGGGGGCAGTCAAGGGACAGGGAGCAGGGGGGGGGG